AAATTCTTACACGATTTCATCAAATATTTAATATCGTAAATGTTGGGAAAATAGATGCGTAACAATTCGAAAAATTCACTCTCATCTGAGGGTAGATTCTGATCGGTTAATAATTTGAGTAAATAACCAAAATCGTAGCCTGAATGAAAACACAGCCATTTAATATTATCGACAAGCACAATTCCCGAAGACATTAGCAATTCGGCGAAATCGAGTGGATCAATACCATCCTCTTCATGTTTTTTGAATTGTATGCCGGAGTTTTGCAGCAAATCAATTGAGTCTTGCGCGTACATGTCCTCACTGTGAACGAAAAAATAAACAAAACAATCGTTACTAGAACATTTTAAACCATATTCCACATTAACCTTAAATTAAATTTAAAATTAAATTGCCATGTTGAGTAACCAGGCGGTGTTTTGCCTTCTTCATCCATGAACGTCAGTCCAAGCTGTATGATGCGCAGCAGATCAACATTACAACGCAGCAGCTGATAGTGGTAATCAGCGGTGGAACGAAATTCACCAACAGGACGCGCTACAACGCCTGGAAATTCAGTGTCCATCGCCACATAATTATACTTTTGCACGACTTTGCGAATTGTACGAAATTCTTCCTCTAAATTATGCTTCCAAACGTCGCGTATACCGCACTCCTCATTGTTGGGTATATTCACGTTGTGACTAACGGCGCCTGAGCCGTGTCCGGTACCGCTTATGGCAGAAGGCATTGCCTGCAAAAAGAGATTCGGACGCTATATTAGCACAAATGATTGATTGTGGTTACAAATAAATCAAAAAGAAGGAATAATTAAAATAAAAACCAATTACCAAGGTAAAAAGCGAGTACAACAAATAAACAACAAAAATAAATAAGTTTATTAGAGTGTCTGATACAATTTCTGTGAATTGTTATTAGCAGCGCTGATAGCAAATTTTCCAAGTGGTTCGCTTGTTTTCAAATATAAAGACGATCATTAACCGAAAATTTTGCAGATTTTAGCAGCTGATGCTGGAGAAGCACCAAGTATTGATTGAAAATTCTACGAAATATTGAGCCAGATGATACTGGTAAATAAAAGCTACATACATAAGTACATACATAATTAAGCAAACGTGGATCTATGCTTGGTACATATTTATTTCATCGCTTGGATACATCTTTTTTTTTGTAAAAAAGAAATAGATCGGCCAAATACTAACATACATATGTGTAAACGCCAATCTATTATTATTAAAGAAATAGTGGAACTCTGAAAATGCATTATTTTGCGTTGAATATCAATGCCAAGCACAAACACATTTTATTGTTTGGTGATTAATCCGACAATATGACATTATGAATTCTGGTACGAATTTCCGTAATCTTACATATGCATATGCAAACTAAATTCGACAGGGGATGTAGAAAATGATTTGTGTATCAAACGATCTAGTTATTCTGTTGTTTTGTTAAATTTTCTCATGTTAGCTGTGTATATTTTTATGTACATTTAAACAAAAATCGATGTAATATGAAATTATTACGATTTTTTTTGTCATGTTAAGGTATGGAAATGGAGCTTTTTTTGTATAATTTTTAGGGTAAACGCAAACAAAAAGTTAAATACTAAAACAGCCAGCTAACAAACAAATTTGCGTAAAGCAAGCGTGCATGTTTGTGAATTCCACTTGAAAGCGGCCCATTGTACAGGAAGGCCAAATGCTCATGTCGCTACACTACTTACATCAGCTGTTGTAGGCTTTGCTGTTGCTGCTGTTTCAGCCACGTTGCTTCAAAACGACTTTATATACAAAGATTTCACTGCTAAGCGTATTTGATAAATTTTGAATTTTTTTAACTCTTGCTATCTTTTTTTCGTTCCTCAGCAAGAATCACAAAAAATTTCTTTCGCGGCGCGGTATATTCAAGAAATTATTTAGTAATTTTAATCGGGTCGGTTCGGAATAGCGTTTCTGAGTAGTGGTGGTGGAGGATTTAGAGACGTACGTTCTACCGGCAACCGTTTATTTTTATTTCGTCGCTACTTGATTGGATTATGCTTGTTTATTGGTTTATTTCAAACTTGATTTGCGCTTGATTGAAGCGTTAGCTGGGCGTATACCTGCAAGAGATTTAATACACACACATGTATACATACATCAATGTACATGAATATAAACAATACGTGAGAGATAAACATCTACCAAATTACATTTTTCAATAACTTGGCTTTAGCATTGAAACTTAAACTAATCGATATGTGCGTGCGTTTGCAAGAGATCAACATCTACAGCGGAAAAATGGAAAATTGTGTTGTGGCGTGTGAATATTTATCTGTTCACTGTTGCAAACAAGACAAGGTGCGAGCCAATTAAGTAAGATTTTTTATTTAATTTCAATTTAATCTATTAAAGTAGTTAAAGAACTATTTTTTTTAGGAGTTTTAGTAGTTTTGTCCATATTTGCTTGCCAATTCCACCACCGCTTTTATTGTTGCTGCACATTACGTACTCGTCACTATATACTAAATATAATTTTCAAAAACGTATTATGTATTTTTGGCAAATTGTTTACACTTTATTTACACAAACATATCTTACCCATTTCATATTCCTTTCCTGTAAATTTCGAGAACTTTTAATTTTCAAATGTTTTTAGCCGTGCTTTAATGGTGCTTCCGCGAATGGCGGCGCCCGTCGTTTCTTCTTATGCCACTTCACTTTTCTCGATTCAATTGTCTCTGGTGTAATTGATTTGTTTTTAGTGGTACTTGATTAATTTGTGAAATTTTTCTTTACTCTAATGTTACACCAACTAAATATGTAAATATTTTTACAGTTTTTGGCCTTTTTTATGTAAAACCAAATGAAAATTAAAAGAAAATGTGTGCGCTATAAAATGGTCGCGTTTTTTCTTGGCTACAGCAAATAAAATTCACAATTCACGACCGATTTTCATCAGATTTTCATCACCCTTCTTCAACCGTATATGTTTTTCTCGCTCTCCCCTGTGGGCATACATGAGCGAGCGATGTAAATGCAGTGAAAATCGCTGCACTGGATGTTGGGCAAAAAAGGTACACTAGCTCGTTGCCTGCTTCTTCTTTTTCGGAGTTTGGGCAAAATGAATTTTCGACTGCAAATTCATGAACCAAAAAGGCAAGACCAAAGAACGTAAATGTACATTTACATCTACATTTACGTACATTTACGTTCTTTGCACAAGATCACGCGGGAAGGAAAGAACGAAAAAAGTTATTTTCTAGCTGCCGAAATCTCGACGCCATCTTCGTTGTAAGAAGTAAACAACGAAGAGAACGGAGAAAACCGCGAAATTGTGGAACGCATGAAAACTCATTTTTATTATGCAAATTTTTCTATAAATCATGCCGTTGTGTTAAATTATTCTTTATCTTATGTGTACACACGTTGTCACAAGCGAAAATGAAGAAAATTGCAGTAAAAAGCCACCACCAAATTGTAAACAACGAAGAAATGTAAACAAACGGCTAATGTCAAAATCGTTCAACTTTTTTCCTAAATGCGATTCTAACGGGCTACTCTCCTGCCCGCGTGATCTTGTCTTTTTGGTTCATGGACGGACCCAAGGAACGTTGGCCAACACTCAAGTTTTGACGCACGTAAAGCCTGCTATACAGTTCAATCAAAGAATGTAGATACAATCTTTGGTAACGTGTAAACAGTTTTAACGCTTTTTAAATCAACAAGACTTGGCAACACGGTTATAGGTGGTTTTTGTTTACATTTCCCCATCGCTGTCAAAACAACAGCTGACTGATTGGAAGCTGACATCGAACGTTTTGCAAACGATTTTCTTCTGGTTAGGCGGCGTTGTTTTCTAATTAATTAAAGCTTGGAGGGCCTGCATTAAAAACTTAAAAAATGTCTTTAGCCGACGAACTATTGGCTGATCTCGAGGAAGACAATGACAACGAAATTGATGAGCTGCAAAATGTATGTAGATTAGACAAAAATTTAAGCTTATTCAACGGTAGTGTACATTTTTGCAGATGGATGAGGATGAGGAGGCAGCGCAGGAGATAACAGAAAAGCTTCTCAAGCCACAGGTAAATCTCATGGAAGTTGATGTGCAGGTGCAATCCGTACGAGAGCTCTGCAAATTGCGCGACTCTGAACGTCTGCAGTACGTGCTGAAACAAATCGAGCAATATGGTAGCAGACAGCGTACCTCAGCGGAGATGCTGGGAAATGTGGAATCAGACCCTGAATATCAGCTTATCGTGGAGGCCAATGCTATAGCGGTGGATATTGATAATGAAATCTGTAAGTTTTATGCATACTAGGCTTGTGCGTTTTTAGTCGACTTCAAAAAAGGAGGCTATCAAAGCGTCGGAATATTTTTTTTTTGGTACTGCCTAACTTTGGTCCACGTTAACAGATTTCGATAATTCTTTTTTCATCGGAAAGGTGGTCCCGTGATGGTGGTCCCATACTAATTTTTTTTAGATCCGATAAGTGGATCATGAAATTAACGGTACACCTAAATTTTTTTGTGGGAATTATTATTTCACCTGGGTTTTTGCTTAAAAATTGCTTGTTTTTTATTATTCTAGCAATTATACACAAATTTGCCAAAGAGAAATATCAAAAGCGTTTTCCCGAACTGGACTCGCTGATTGTTGGCGAAATTGAGTATTTGTATGCGGTGAAAGAGTTGGGCAATGACCTTGAGCAGGTGAAGAACAATGAGAAATTGCAGGCCATACTAACGCAAGCTACTATTATGATTGTGTCAGTTACAGCGTCAACAACGCAAGGGTAAGGAAATTTCAAATTTAAATTGTTAATATGTGCATACACACATATATAACAACTTCGTTCCTTTTTAGCACTGAACTGACACCTACCGAAAAGGCCCAGATTGATGAAGCCTGCGAAATGGCAATCGATTTGAACAATTTTAAATCACAAATTTATGAATACGTAGAAAGTCGCATGACCTTTATTGCGCCCAATCTTTCCATGATCGTGGGTGCATCGAGCGCAGCAAAACTGCTGGGCATAGCTGGTGGTTTAACAAAACTATCAAAAATGCCTGCTTGTAATGTACAAGTGTTGGGCTCACAAAAGAAAACTTTATCTGGGTAAATTAGAGTTATGTTTATTGAAAATTTAGGATTAATGACAAACGTACATTCTACAGTTTTTCGAAAACGCAAATGCTACCACACACAGGATATGTTTACTTCTCACAGATTGTGCAAGATACATCACCGGTTGGTAGAAATACTTTAGATATTTATTTTCATACTACTAAACTCTTTCGACAATTATAGGATCTTCGTCGCAAAGCATCGCGTTTGGTTGCTGCCAAGGCCGTACTTGCTGCACGCGTAGACGCTTGTCACGAAAGTGTGCATGGTGAATTTGGCTTGAAGTTCAAAGAAGATATTGAGAAGAAGCTGGATAAGTTGCAAGAACCACCGCCAGTTAAGTTTATCAAGCCACTATCCAAGCCGATTGAGGGTAGCAAGAAGAAACGTGGTGGCAAGCGTGTGCGCAAGATGAAAGAGCGTTATGCACTCACAGAATTCCGTAAGCAGGCAAACCGCATGAACTTTGGCGATGTAAGGGCAATTTGGTTTTGACTCAAAAGTCAATTTGCATATTTAAATTAACCAATTTTTTAGATCGATGAGGATGCTTACCAAGAGGATTTGGGTTATACACGCGGTACGATTGGGAAAACTGGTACTGGCCGTATACGTTTGCCACAGGTGGATGAGAAGACTAAGGTGCGCATCAGCAAAACGCTACAGAAGAATTTGCAGAAGCAACAAGTCTATGGTGGCAGCACGACAGTGAAGCGACAGATTTCCGGAACTGCTTCAAGCGTTGCTTTCACCCCGTTGCAGGGATTGGAAATCGTTAATCCGCAAGCTGCTGAGAAATCGCAGGCTGAACAGAACGCAAAATACTTTTCTAATACGTCTGGTTTCATATCTGTAGGCAAACGAACCACTTAAAATGCTACCAATAAATTAAGAGTAATTAATTCAATTAAATAGTATATTTTGCAAATTTTGGCTAAAATAAAGTATATCGTATTCGATTAGTCAATACATTAATAACGATAAGCAATAAACAGAGACAAAAACAAAACTGAAATGGAAATGGAAATTGTCATACAAAAATTAAGCATATACATACATACATATCGTCGTTTGAAGTACAAAACCGCGTATCGTGATTCTGCAAAACCGCGTTACTGACATTGGCTGCCAAAAATTGGATTTGCTCACACAAGCTCTTGGCTCAATCCTTATCCATTCGTCCTGAAATATACTAGACAGATAACCGATTGCACTATAAAAACCAAACCATTTTGAAATATAAGTGTTTTTACGCTCTAGAAAATAATTTCTACAACTTCCCATACGCGGTTTTGCATTTTGTTGATACGCGATTTGGCACTTTAAACGACGATATATGGATTAAACTACAGCTTATTACAATGGCGAGATTCTGAATAAAAAAATTTGCACCGTAATGTGCAAATATTTATAAACATACATTCATACATAGATATACACTTATAAAAATGTAAAAGCCAATTTTTCGAAAAAGCAAAGATGAACTGCAGTCTGTTAAATTCTTGTTGGAATTAAAAAAAGTAATAATGTGGAAAGGTAGATTATGCTTTGTGTGCATTGTTAACTCAGCTTGCCTATTTCTAATTTTCGTTGCAGCGCCTCCAATGAATTGTTTAGAAAAACTGCAATAATTCCGGCAACTGTAAAAACGCCACCAATTATGGAACAACAGTTTGTAGCAAAGTGACCAAATGATCTGTAACGTCATTAGAGTGAAATTAATGGGCTAATAAGAGTATGAGAACTAGAGAAAAACTGTGTAGTACCTTTGCTTCTCTTCGTACTTGACCATAAGTGGCGATAGCTCATAACTGAAGAATATACCTGGCATGCCACGCTCCTTATTTGAAAGGTCCTTTTTGTAGCGCGTCACCGAGAATTGATTGGTGTGTATGGGCGGGCTGTGCGCTTTCACATACATAGTAGGCACAATTTTTAGATAGTAATTGTACATCTCGCTTTTCACAGCTGAAATGGAATAAGAGCGTTTGTTTTTTATTGATTTAGAAAAATACATTTACTTTATTCAACTTTTGTCCGTTAATATCACTTAACTACTAGAGGGCGTTATAGTCACTTCCTATAAAATCAGCTGATAAACGGCACACAACTAGTGCATTTCACCACATTAAGCGGTTGACTGATTATTCACCACAAACACGCATTTGACATTTCATAGAGAAACAAAAAAGCAACAACGAGAACGTGTGTAATTTGCATGAAAAAATTCCAGAATTCATAAAATCAATTTCGATAAAGTAATTAAATAATAAACAAGTCGCACTTTGTAGCGAAAACCAAATTTAACGTTAGTGAATTGGAAATATCTACTTCCTATCAAGACCAACCCGCAATCTTGCAACTACAATGCCAGCATTGCCCAGCGGAGTTTATGGCCAAGCGCAGGGCCCATCATGTTTTGATAAAATGAAGACAGGATTCACGATTGGCTTTTGTGTGGGCATGGCAAGTGGAGCACTCTTTGGTGGCTTTTCAGCGTTGCGGTGAGTTTGCGTCCAAAAGTAAAGCCGCTGATGCAACTTTATGCAATTACATAATGCATGTGTGAAATGTGGCTTAAAGAGTGTGGCACTTTGATTTTTGATCATTCAATTTGACAAATTAGCTCACACTTTATTTCTTATAGATATGGTTTGCGTGGCCGCGAGCTCATTAACAATGTGGGAAAAGTGATGATACAAGGCGGCGGTACTTTTGGCACTTTCATGGCTATCGGCACCGGCATCCGTTGCTAAGCAGAAGATCGCTTTGGGATAACGCAATGCCGGAACATATTTTCGCGTTTTTTTTTTATAATGATGCCCTTTTCTTATTAATTTCATAGATTTTAGTTTACCCACAATACATATACTGAGATACGTGCAAATATCGTTAAAATAAATATTTTTGAAATGAAGCGTACATTTTTTAAATGCAGCGGCTAGCAGAACATATATTTTGAAGTTGAAGAGAATTTATTATTTGTACTTACCTTTGTCTGATTCGACGTGCAGCCCGTCAAGTGGATGTGTTTTTGCAAACTCAATTTTGTCACCAAACGATAAATGATTAATTGTGTGATCCAATTTCACATCGGTGAATTGAAAGTCATGTATATGAAATTGGCGTATGGAAAAACTGTTGCCAGGAGCAAAATGAAAACTACCAGCCATCTGAAAATGAAAGGTATTTTAATAAGCAAAATTACCAATAGCATATAATCTGCTTTGAACCCAAACGCATACTCACTCTATTCACTTCTAAATGTCCCTGTACTCTACACCCTTCTTTGAAAGCATCTGTATCACTATGTTTGAATTGATCTTTACATTGCTCGATTTTATCCATTTGCACATTCCATCTTCTTTCACGATATGAATTCAGCACCTCCTCACAAGTGTTGCAGCATCTTAAATAAATACAAGAAACTTTTGTATTTAACTCTGTATTGCTTTATATTAAAATTTAGCATTTATCAACCATACTGGGTGCTATTATATTCAGCGCCATAGCAGCTACCACAAGTGGCGTTTTTGTTTGATGGCGACACAGCAACAATTTCCTTTATTGGTTCCGTTTCTTTCAAAGGATTACCCTGCAAATCCAAGCGATGCTTGAAAATATCATGATCAACGCGCAAGTGCTGATCGCCTGAGGAGTCCATAGCGTCCAGTGACACATCTTTAACAAAACTCATCATTATTGAAGGGGTAATGGTAAATAAAATCGTATAATTACGCACAGCTACACGCTAAATTGTGTATTGTTATATCCAAATTTATACGCAGTTTGTGATTTCGCGTGGTGTCTACAAACAGATCCTCTGAGAGATTTGGTCGAAAATAGGCAACACATTCTAGAAAAATCAGTACAGCTATGATGGTGCTGCTGATTAAAGTTACTGCAATTATAAGATAAACCTCAATTTATTTTCTAGGTTTATTAATTCTACGCATAATCTTACCTGCAGCACCACTAACAGTGCGTACACTGAAATCCTCAAGCGTACGTGGGTACGCATCCAGCCGGCGGAGCACATCCGCAATTCTCATGTTTCACCGTTGTTCCAACGCCGCTGTAAAGGCAGACAATTTCTGAAGACTCTGTAATTTGTTTCTATTACCTGGTCACACGAAAGCAATCTTTTAAAGTTTGGTTAAATAAAACATTGTACGGTGAAATAGGAGTGTTAAAAACTGCTGCGCTGGATTAAAAAAGGGCACGTTTGTTATTTGGCTCGTTGCCTCATATGCCAATTCTACTTTTTGTTCTATTTACGAACGTCACTAAACGGAGAGGTGATAGAGGGTGCTGCATTTCTAACTCGAAAAAATTCAGCACAAAGTCAGCAAATGTTCGATTAGTTTTACCACAGTATAGACACTAGCCCATGTAGGAATGTACGATATTGTATCGATTATTCGAAAATTTCTAAACATTTTGAAATCTGGATCGCGGATCGCAATACCGTCAATAAATATTGAAAATGCAGCACTTTCAAAACGCGATCCCATGAACGAAAGACACAAGATCACGCGTGAAGGAAAGAACGAAAAAAGTTATTTTCTAGCTGCCGAAATCTCGACGCCATCTTTGTTGTAAGAAGTAAACAACGAAGAGAACGGAGAAAACCGCGAAATTGTTGAACGCATGAAATATCATTTTTATTATGCAAATTCTTCTATAAATCATGCCGTTGTGTTAAATTTTTCTTTATCTTATGTGTACACACATTGTCATAAGCGAAAATGAAGAAAATTGCAGTAAAAAGCCACCACCAAATTGTAAACAACGAAGAAATGTAAACAAACGGCTAATGTCAAAATCGTTCAACTTTTTTCCTAAATGCGATTCTAACGGGCTACTCTCCTGCCCGCGTGATCTTGTCTTTTTGGTTCATGACGCGATCCATACATTTTGTCAGTACATCTTTTACTCTGTGTGTGGAATTGTTCAAACAAAGAACGTAGATATTTACGTTCTTTGGTTCAAATATAAAATAAATTCAAATAGAATAAACTGAAAATATATTAAAACCAATTTAAACATAATATGGTTCATTGCCTGGTACCTACGGCTTTTGCAAATTTTAAAATGAGGCCAAAAAAGTCACAACCCTACTTTTTAGTTTCTGGCCAGTGCGTTGCCAGTTTTTCAAAGCACTTAATTTCTTGAATTCGCGAACAATGGGTAAACAGTAGGGTCGTGGATTTTTTGGCTTCCTTTTGAATGTGGAAAACTTATTGGTAACAGGAAAAGAACCATATTATATTTAAATTGGTTTTAATATATTTTCATTTTAATCTTTTAATTCAATTTATTTTATATTTGAACAATTCCACGTAACTTTTCCAGTGTTGTAAATCCTATTTATGCCACTAATGCTTTTTAATCTAAAAACATCATCACCCTAGTAAAGAGCTGTTTGTGCAACGTGGCGTTGCCGGACTTGCACTTCGAGATTTCATGAAATGATGTCGTATTCATTGTTAACTTGCTATATGCTCTTACATACGTATTGTTACGATTATCCTCGAAACCTTGAGGGATTTCCCAAATATGCT